ACTGTTTATTCACTGCAGTGGAGATATTTTCCTTTGAAACACTCAGACTTTCAGTCAGTATTTCTGCTTTAAATGTTACAGATTTTTTTTTTCCTCCTGCCTTATGAGCTTAGAGCCCTCTGAATAATTCCACTGATTTTGGTATGGAAATTGTGTTTGGAGAGCAAGTGTGAATGCCGGGTTCTTGCAGCCCTGGCTTTGGTGTCAACAGGCAGGATAGCAATTTGCCAGTAGCCCCTAAGCTCTGCAGGGAGGAATAATGCGAATCACTGAAAAAAGTGTAGGATGTGCAACAAAGCCGTCTGCCAGAGACGGGTGCTAACTCAGGAGGTTGCATTGAAGAATATTCTGGAAGATGTTTAATTGATTAGGTTTTGTTACATTACTGAAGAGCAAAGTCTGAATGCAGTCAAGTAATGAATGGCATATTGATAAGAAATTCAGAGTGGTATTGTTTTTCATGGGTTTCCCTGACGGTTTCTATGGGGACAAAGACGCATTTCCCGTCTGAGTGCTGCTGCTGCCCTCTGATTGCACTTCTGTGGTTTCATTCACCAGTAATGGGAAAGCATTCATAGGCAGAATAGCTTCCCCTTTTTAAATAGCCATGATTCAGGGTTGTATTTTTTTTAATGCATTAGGCTAATGCAGTGTTTTATCAATGATCTGATAGATGCATAATGCTCTTTTTCCAAGTGCTTATTCAGGGTCTGCATTAAAACTTGAAATTATGTACTGTAATTACGTAAGCCTTGACAAAAGTCTTTGTTGCCCTGCAGTATGTGTACAAAGTGATTCTCATCCAGCTTTGGCAGTAGCTTACATTTGAACTTTAGGGATTAATTTTGTTGCAACCATTTGAATGGTTGAACTCAAATGCTGATGCATTTGGAAACCTTTTTCTCTTGTGGGGGTCCTTCAGTTGACTGATGTGAGTTAATTATTTAGAGAATGAGAGTTTTTTAGAAATGTGACTTTTTAAAAAAAAAAAGAAGAATTATTTTGGTTTGTCCTTTTTCTGCTCTCTGATGGGAGGCACTTCAAAGCTGATTGTGATTTCACATCTCAGTGTTTGGTTTTGAGTCTGTCCCTTGCCTGCCAAATGTCGAATTTAGGGTTGTCCGATTACTCTGCAGGGTCCCCCCCCCCCCCCCCTTTGCTGTGGAGTTTCTGTATTCTCAGAAACTACTTGCAGTTTTGAGGGTCTGTTTGTTGTTGTTGGCTTTTATTCTTTTTCCTGGATGTTTGATTTCAGTGCTTCCTCTGAGAGAGAGCATGTGGGGGAGAGAGAGATTGCTTCTCATCCAGCATGTCTCTGCATTTCTGTGTATTTAGACTCCTCTCTTTCCTGTTCCACTCTGCCCCCCACAAAAAAAAAAGCCCTCTGGCTTGCAGAAAACAGAGTTCTTTTAGCCAATGCTTGAAATGTGGAGGAAGGGGAGGCCAGCCAGAGCTGGAAGCTCTTTCTCGCAGAGATGGGGTGCTGTGTGCTGGGAAATAGCAGCTTCTGAGCCAGGCTGCTCCTTTTTGATTGCCTGAAAAAAACGTGAAATGACTGTAAAAAGGGGAGTGAGACTTGCCGTTTACACCTGTGTATTACCGAATTGTAGTACGATTACAGACTGTGTTCTGTATGCAAGGCTGAGGTATGTGAAGTCATCCATCACTGGTGAAAACAGGCTGGAGTGGGTCTCCCCAGCCCCAGTGCTGGCTCGCGGTGAGGGGTGCTGGCAGAGCCGAGCCAGGGCCCTTGGCAGCAAAAGCTTGTGAGTGCTTCTGGGGCCCTTGGCCCTTGGCAGCAAAAGCTGCTTCTGTGCACCGGCTGGGTCCAGCAGGCCCGCCCTGGCCTGTGCTCTCCTTGCTGTAAGGATGGAAACCTGCGTTGTCACCTTCTGCAAAGAGACCCGACCTTACAAATGAACATGGGAACACCCGAGTTGCTTCTGGTGGTAATTGAGATGGGGAGAAGGTCACACCGAGGCCATGTACCTGGCAGTATGCGCTCAAGAGATGCAGCTCCTGCAGTTTGCAAGGGAAATGCATACCTGCGTGGAGTGGCGTGTTCAGTGCCGTACCTGTGCTGGAGCACTGCCTCATTGCAGAGGAGCCATTTCACCACTTGTACCTTATACACGCGGGTGTTACTGATTGAGGGTTTCGGGGCTGGCAAGGAGGGAGGAGGAGGACTGAAGGTTGTGTTTTTGTTTAATTTGGGACCTTTTGTTTCCTCAAAGCCTGTCAGCTCAGTAGGATGAAAAACCTGGTTTGAGTGTTTGCTTCATTTGGCCACAGCTTATGGAGGAGCACGCAGATAAGGGCCAGCTGTTGCTCCATTTGCTTGCTTAAACAAAACCCGCTGTAGCATGTGCGGAGGGCTGCAGGCTGCAGCACCTTGCAAGAAGAGCAAGACAGAGATAAGGTTTTTGTATGCTGCTTCTTTTTTATTATCAAGAAATGATTTCTCCTGTTGATGAATTTTTTGACACACCTTGCAGTCTGCTGTTTGTGGTTTTGTACTGCGTCCATTGTAGAAAATAAGAGATTAGGGAATTCCAATAATCTTCTGTAATATAAAAGCTTCTCATTGAACTGTTTCTCTAAATTTGGCAACTCCCAGAAATGTAAAATAGGATGGGAGAGTAAACAGTGTTTCCCTGCGCTGTTGACACGGGGATGGCAGGAGAGTGTGTGTGGGGGATGAATTCCCTCCTGTAAGTTGCTTATAAATAGCATGCTCTGCCCCGTCCTGGTGTGCGTGTTCTGCTTCTGTTAGTTAGCAGGAGTGAGTCGATGCTTTCCTGTCTGGCAGTTCAGTGACTTAATGCATGTTTGAGTAGCTGGCCTCACTGTTTTATTGCTACACATACTTTTCTGTGGAAAAACTGAGGTGGGCAATGCAAATGGAACCACAACTCATGTCCCTGGCTTCCCTTTTATTTCCTCCTCTCTGTTCTCTGCCCTCCTTAGCGTGGTTTTTTCTCTGGGTGTTTCTCCTCGCTGCTCTTCCTATGCTGTGCAGGTGCAGGAACATGTTGAAACTGAACATGGTGAAAGGACTCTTCTCTAGTCACTCTCCTGTTTTGGACCCTCTGAGCTGTGTACAGAGGGAAATTGCTGTGGTCTTGATAATTGTAGTTAAGTTTCTCCTTGCAGCCAGCTTCCTGTGTGAGGTATTGCTGCTGTAAAGTATTGTTTTGAGCGCTAACGAGGGGGTTGTCCCTTGCCAGGAGAAGTGCTGTTAGGCTGGCGATGGGTAATTAATCAGGAAGCAGGTGTGTTGCGCAAACCCCATCAGCATCCGCACTGGAGGAGAAAACACTGGCCTATTTAAGGAGGGAAGGAGCTGCCTTGACACACTGTGCTTGGGAGCCAGGTATTCTGAATTCTGTATTTATGACTTCCTGATTCGAGGCACGTTGCCAAAGGGGCTTTCACCTCTGCTAGTAAATGTCTCTAGCTGTTGAAAAGGTCCAAGTGTCATTATGAGAGTTTATGGCACAGTTGCCTCTGGAGTACTCCACGGAGTAAAATGCTCTTCTGTTGGTTCAAAGAAGATAGCGTTGAGCTGCCCTGGAACCAAGTCTAAGCCAAAGCTGACCCAGCTGTCTTTGGCAACTCAAGCCTGAGCAATGTTGTCCTCAGTAAACATTTAAGAAACAGGGCTCTCCTTGTCTGTTTTAATGCCTGTTATATGATGTGCTTCAGTCAAGAGATGCGAGTTCTGCTTTCTGGGATGAAGTTCAGTCCCTGCCTGTGAACGTCTGTGGTATGGGAACATGGCTGTGACACAGGGCTAAGAGTGATCATACGGACTGGTGAGTTGATGGACGAGGACAGTAATACCCAAAGTTGAGTTACGATCCTGAGTTGTTGAAAAGAAAGCCTGCAGTACTGCTAGATCACTCTTCCATCCAGATGCACTGGACAAGTCCTGTTGTGTTGTAGTGATTCTGCTCTCAAAACCAACCATTGCTGGCAAATAGTCTAAAGGGTAATTGGTAATCCTTTTAGATGCCTTTAACAGGCACAGATTTTTAAATATAGTTACAGATGCTAGCAGTGAGAATTAAAAGGAAAGAAAGGTTATGTTCATCTAGTGCTATGACAAGCAACTAGGCATCATTTTTTCTGCTCCTGTGTGATATCTATAAGGGAAGAAAATTCTTGCAGAGACAATTACTGCAGCACAATGACAAGTTCACAGTGCTTTGCAGGCAGGAGTTTGCAATCTAGATAAGGCATCCCTGTCATCTCTCTGCAAGCCCTTTGCTAGCCTCTCTGTTCATTCCAATGTGAGGAGCTCCTCTGGTTCAGCTGGGTAGATAAGCTTGCTGTTAACCTTGGTGGTGTTCAGCTCACCTGATCTCCCTTTGCCCAAAGGTCTATTTAGGAAGACTGAAATCTGTTAAAATTGCTTTTCCTTGATGCTGGGATAAAGAAAAATTTTGGTTGGTCAAAGAGATCGTTTAGGGTCAGAGTGACCATGTTATTCCTGTTGAACCTTGTGGAATTACAGGTGCAAGTAACGGCTCACCAGTGTGAAGGTGTCAAAATAACCTTGTCTAGTTAGGGCTAGGCTTTTATTTGGGCATGAGTCCTACACAGGTACGTTAGAGTGCAGCCAACACAGAGAAAAGCTTGAGGTTTATGTCTCCTTTTGGAAATCATGTCTATGTAAAATTTACCAAACACATGAATATGGCAATTACTTTTATCTTTTTAAGGCCTTACTAATGAGTTTACTGGACATAACTGTATTTGAAATCTTGTAGCTGTGTGTGTGGCAATATTCCTTACATTTCTCTAAGATCTCTAACCAGTATAGAAGAGACAGTATCAATTATCTGTAACAAGTGCTGTGAGTGGGATTTTAAACTGATGCACTCCTGTGGTTGTTGAATTTTGTAGGGTATTACTATTATAACCATGTAGTTGTAACAGTCATGAATTTGTGTTTTGATGTTTGCTTACCTTGATGGTTTTGGTCTTTTTGCCTGCAGGACTAGAGTGAAATTGGAAAGCCTAGAAGATGCTTATATTTTAAGAGGAAATGATGACTCTCTTTCTGATAAGCATGGATGCCCAGCCTATGTGAGTCCAGAGATCTTGAACACAAATGGCAGCTACTCTGGCAAAGCAGCGGACGTATGGAGTCTAGGTGTCATGCTTTATACCATGCTAGTTGGACGCTATCCTTTCCATGACATTGAGCCTAGTTCCCTCTTCAGCAAGATCCGTCGTGGGCAGTTTAACATTCCAGAAACTCTATCCCCCAAGGCAAAATGCCTCATACGTAGCATACTGCGTCGGGAGCCATCGGAAAGGCTGACTTCACAGGAAATTCTGGACCATCCATGGTTTTCTACAGATTTTAATGTATCGAATTCAGGATATGGTGCTAAGGAGGTATCAGATCAGCTGGTGCCTGATGTCAACATGGAAGAAGACTTGGACCCATTCTTTAACTGAGCACAAAGACTGGTGTTCAGAAGGTACACAACCTGGAGATGGACACATGAAGGAGCCCTTCCTGACCGTGTTAAATCATCCTGCATCAGCCTAGCTTGGTAGCAAAAGACACTCAGAGGTCCTCGGATTGAGAAGAACCTCCACCAGGAGCTAATATAACAAATGTAGCATGGGGACAGATTGGGGGGGTGGGGGGAGCTTGCTATCAGGTTAGATTGATTTGGAGGAGAAAAGGCAGCATGGAGCAATTTGTAGCTTCTCACCTTTTTGGAGCCAAGGAGACTGCACATGCCAATTCTGGTGCAGCTGTATCACTCCCGTTTCTGTTCCATTAAAAATAGTGGTAACTCACGACAAATAGAAACTTTTTTGCCTCAGCTCACATCTTGGCATCGCACTGTTAGATATTTAACTTCAGCCATGATTCAGGGAAAGTACAATTGGCTAACATTTTTTTTTAATCGGATGTCTAATAATTAATGGGATTAATTTAAGAAAAAAATTAGGTGCACAAAGGCGGACATGAAAAGTGGGTGCTAAAAACAAACAAAATTTCAGTTCATGTCTCTTGATAGCTATTTTCAACTCATTTCTTCTAAATAAACTACTTAATATTCTTGTCAGGAAATGACATTTTAATGCTTTGTTCCCTTAAGGGGAAGTAACTGTCATTTAACAAGCTGTTCTGTTTTGTGTCAAATGGTTTGTTGCAGGAAGCTATTATAACTCGAACTTCCAGATGCATTACTGCTATAATAGGGAAAAAAAAGAAGAAAACTATATAATTTTTTTTAAAGATATGAGATACTGGCTTCCATATCTGCCATGCTGCACGTATATGACTAGAGAGGGCAGAAAGCCCTTAATCGTGTCTTTATCTGAGAACCGATCTCTTCTTTAACTGACTGGCCCAGGTGTAAATAGAGGGGTCTTTATTATTGAAGAAGAGTATTGTGGGTTTTTTTTCTTTGAATTCCTTTCAACTTGGGAAAAGAATTGTTTGGGTTTGATTTTTGTTTATGTCCAGAATAAGAAATAAGAGGGTATTAATAAGCTGAACATTTATATTACAGATATTCCTCTTGAAACATACACAGTAATATGCACCTTTTGTATTGTCAAGACTTATTCTATTTATTGAAGAAAATGTCACAGTAGTGATGTATTAAGCCAGTACTTCAATTACGGGTTGACTTGGGATGACATGTTACATGCTGTAGTTAACACACTTCTTTTCTGTTCAGGTATTTCTGTCCCTAAATAACTTTTTATTTAGCTTCTTTTTCTAGATAGCTTTATTTGATTTAGACTGGCAAATGTTTTTATTACTGCTTTTATATTGCTGTATGATATTGAAATCTCTTGGCATAAATATTTGTGTTTCCAGTACCTCAGTTGTTCTGATATTACTGCCTGTATACGTTTTGTGAAGTGGTCATGTTTTTTGGGTAGGTACATGTGGACTCTGTAGTATGTAAATGTTACTTGAATTTGTGCTTAATTATAGTATGTGGCATGTGCGTACAGCTACTTGGCATTTGACGTATGGATGCTATTTGCCTGCCTTGCAGGAAAGTTATGGTCCCACTCTCAAGAGGATGTTTCACAGTTCTTTATCAAGAGACAAAGCTAGCTGCAGCTGACCTGCCTTGGTTCTATTTTGGTAACTAAGAATATAAAGGAGTAATGTTTTTACACTCTGAAGATGGTGCTGTGTCAAGAAGGACTTTTTTTATTTTATAAGTACCTTATAGGAGGAAAGATTGGTGATGTGCATGGTGGGGTTTTACTGCCTCTGGTGCTTTGTCATGTATTTGGTTTAATGTTTTTGTCCTAATCTCTTCAATAAATAAAATTGTGCATATTTAACTAAACTTCAGTGGTGAACGATGTTCTTACTGAATGTCTGAGGTGCTGCAGGTGTTTGCTCCGTTAGGATCATTTAGCTGGTATTTTTTGTGCTGCTAACAAGCTCTTGCCAGACCTGTGAGCTGAGAAAGCTTAGCACTTACATTTACAAAGTAACACTGTAAGCCTTTTCATCAAAAATTTTACCGTTTGCTATGAAAGAAATTGGCTTTTATTTTGTTTATTTTCTTTTGGCTTGTCCCTACCACTTACCAAGCCCATTTACCTTTTTCAGGGAGAGTATTGAAATGCAGTGAGAACTATGTCTTTTTGGTGATGGGAGCTCTTTGGCATTTTTTGTGCTGCTAACAAGCTCTTGCCAGACCTGTGAGCTGAGAAAGCTTAGCACTTACATTTACAAAGTAACACTGTAAGCCTTTTCATCAAAAATTTTACCGTTTGCTATGAAAGAAATTGGCTTTTATTTTGTTTATTTTCTTTTGGCTTGTCCCTACCACTTACCAAGCCCATTTACCTTTTTCAGGGAGAGTATTGAAATGCAGTGAGAACTATGTCTTTTTGGTGATGGGAGGCTCTTTGGCTGATGGAGGTACCAAAATGGAGCAAGCCGGCACTTGCACTTTCCAAAGTCCTAGAGAAATGTGCATCTTGCATTTGCACCTCAATTCCTGAAAGGATGGATCTGAAATAGCACCTCCTGATTTACTCTTTTATTTAAGGCCAGGTTCTGTTTCTGTCATACATCTTGGATAATAATTAATAGATGCAGGAAGTGAGATCACGTAGAAGTGCATGTGGAGCAATAAGGTGCTTTGTGAACATGAGGCAGGACAGATGAATCCTGGTCCATTAGGAAAAGACCATTTGAATTGGGTTTTGATTTGAACCAGGATGCAGTCTGTTTTCAGCAGTTCTATGGTTTGAAAAAGCTACAGGTGGCTGATGATCACCCCTAAAGAAACCCCACAGCCCCAAAACTCTCCACTTCAAAATAAGAGTACTGCACCAAAACTGCTAGCGCAGGGATTACTGTCAGGCTGGCTAAATTTGTGCTATGTGATTTCATCCTAGGTAATTCCTGGCATGTGTTGAATATTTCAGTTGGTAAAATGAGAATTAAAACCATTGATTATAGCACCAACCAGAAATGTTATTAACATGTAGAAACACTTGAAGATCATTTTTTAAATGATCTGTATGCCTGCAGCCAAAGTTTAAATTACTTGAAACTCTTTCAAATCAAACTCCCACAATAAATGTGCTTTATGGAAAAAAGCAGATTGTAATCAGTCATAGAGAGAAGGGGAGGGGTGAGTGCTGAGGATTTCCCTCTTCCCCACTAAAACTTATGTGAACGGCTTCTGTTCTGTTTGGGTGGAAGTAGTTAGACCTTATTTTACAGCAACCTGCATGCTTGCTTTTTCACTGCCAGTAATTATATGAAAAATTCAGCTGACTAATGATTGCTCATTTGCAGTGAATTCTTTATTTGAGGCAAAAGCTTTCTTGGTGTTGCTGCGGAGGAATCCTTTGGCAGCTGAAGTCAGCTATATAAAATGCTGAAGGGGTTCCTTGTTCTCGGAGCTTTCCTCGTCCCTAAAGTGAAACCTGAGAGGGGGATCTGTGATTCAAACAGCTGATTTCTGGCTCTTTTTTTATTCCTGCTTCAGAGGCGCTGTTAGTGGAGTACAGGTATAGCACTGCTTGCTGCAGAAATGCCTCGACAGCTTGTTTAGCGCTGCTTGACCCTCGATTTGGGTAGCAACTGCAGTGGGATGCAGGGTTTTGCTGAGCAGAGAGTGCCGGATGGGCTCAGCTGCATCCCAGTCCTGGGGAAAGGGATGATCTCACAACTGTGCAGGGTGAAAAGCCATGTCTACAAAAAAAAAAACACCAACATTTCACAGAATAGGACCCTATGGCGGACTTTGGGAGCAGAAGCCCCCCAGCCTCTCTGTCTCCTCTACCCCTCCCAATTAAAAAAAAAAAAATTTTGTTGTTTACCACAACATTTATTTTATCAATGCAGCACTGTGTAATTTCAAGCTACAGGCTTTTGTTCAGGAGTGCACAAACAAGTGACAATTATTCCTTTGGCACCAAAAGAGGGGGGAAAAAACCCACACACCCAAAAAAAAAAAAAAAAAAAAAAAAAAAAAATCTACCCTTCCCAATTAAAAAAAAAAAAAATTTTGTTGTTTACCACAACATTTATTTTATCAATGCAGCACTGTGTAATTTCAAGCTACAGGCTTTTGTTCAGGAGTGCACAAACAAGTGACAATTATTCCTTTGGCACCATGATGTCATATAACCTGATCCCTTAGCCTTACTGAGGTGTGCATGTGTTATGGGGATAAACAAGTCAATTAAAAATGCATTCTCTTAAAGATGAAATAACCTTGATAAACCTGTGGTTCTGAAAAGAAAAAATAAAAAAAGGCCAACCCAAGCCCCTAAAACCCCAAACCGCGCTTTCCCGGCAGTCAGAGAGGAAGGGTATGAAATGTGATGCCAAGGAAAAATTATTGGGAAGGGGAAAAAATAATACTCCTCATCCTGAAATGATTATGTTGAAATTTGGAAATGTATGAGTGAGCTCTGTGACTAATAGCATAATGAATACCAAAAGAATTAGTAATGATCAGTTCTTTATTCTTAAAGTTTTGTCTAAGGTTTCTATGAAAAACTTGCTAATTTAATAAGTGACAGTATAGCTAACAACTTAACTAGCTTGTAACTTTCCTATTCTTTCAATAGAAGCAAATGTTGAAAATTGGTAACACAATGAGACAAATTGAAATCAAAGTGTAAGTAAAGCGGGGTATAAATGACCTGTAATGTGGTGTAATTCCACTGGAACATGAAAAACAACTGAGGAAAATTTCTTTCAAAAAAAGAAAAAAAAAAACTTAAATCAGGCCAGTTCTGGCACTGACTTTTGCTTTTCCCAATGTTCTTGATAGTGACATTCTCAGTACCAGTTTCCATGCCTCCATTTCTGCTTTTTTGACTTCTGAATTTAGCCGATTTAAGCTATTTGCTTGAAATTTTGATTGTCCTGAGATGCCCCCCCAGAGGCCTCTCTAAAAGTTTGACACTCTAGGCCATATTTGGCTTGGAAAGTTTTAAGTATATTGGTGAATATATGTAAATGTGAGGAAAAACGTATTTACAGTGACGGTAGTGTAAATCCTGAGAAATTAATTTGATATTATTTGCGCTGATGTAAATAAGTGGAATTAATTTCTTAAGGGCCTAAATGAGCCTGACTTGTGTGCTGAGAGTTGTCATTTATTCTAGTTATTATTCAATTTAAATTTGTTTAGACTCCTCACGAAAAATGGCTCAGCACAGGAGTGGATCACATTGTTCTGGCTCTCCTGCCTCCTTCACACAACATCCATAGCCTGCAGGGGAAAAATAAAATAATCTTGGTGCGGCAGCTTGTAGAAAGTAATAGGTTAGCTGCTGCATTTATTTCTGCTCAAGAGATTAAAGTGTAGTTGCAAAGCTGGTGCTGACATCATTTCAAGCACACAAAAAGCTGACGTCAGTTATACAGTATATTGCAAGGTGTTTATCTTCATCTGATTAGGTTAGCAAAACGCATGCTGCAAAGCCAGCACACAAAGAAGGAAACTGTGTTTGTCTGTGCTTCAGTACTCGCCCTCTGACACCAAAGTCAGTCCTGGAAAGACTGAAACACTTTGTGCTCGATAAGGCCCCTGTAAAAATCTGTGGAGCTATCATCGGGCTTGACTTTTTCCCATGCTAATCTCCAAACATCAGTGTTAAGCACACAGCTTGTTTGAGGTGGGCGTTGGGCAGCCCCTCCTCGCGGGGGAGTCCAGATCTGAACTTTTGGCCTCCACAAAGCCAATCAAACTGACAAAGTGAAAAGGGATGTTGTGACACAGCAGTGCAAACGCTGATCTTTCTCTTCTGCAAGCTCATCTAAGTGTGTGTAATCGGTCAGCGAGGAAGGCAGGAGAGCTGCCGCCAGCCGTCGAGTACCAGGGCAGGAGGCTGCTGCCCCTGCCCGCTGCCCCTGCCCGCTGCCCGGGGCGTGCAGGCAGCACCGCGTGCTGCCACGGGAGTCAGAGTTATGCTGCCTCCGCTTCCCCTGTCTGCTGGAGCGTGCTGGAGATGTGGAGAGCAGCAGCAGAAAACATGTACCTTCCTCCCTTCAGCTGTGACCGAATGTACCCTTAAAACCAAATCCTTCCACCTGTAACTTTAAATACCCGCACTAAGAGGACACCTAGGAATAGTGTGCTCTATGGGTCAAGCCAAGTTCTTCAAGGATGGATGGGGCAGAGGTGGACAGGTGTCTGATTTCTGCTCGTACTCAGACCGAAGTCAATAACCCACATGTGCTATATGAAGATGGTGTTAAGTGTATGCTTATGTTCTATGCTTACCCTTAAAAGGACAATTTCAGTGTTTGCTCTGAGCACCTGGCTTGGATATTTGTGTGTGCTTCCACAAGAGCAGTCTCATTGCTCCATAAGGACCGCTGGTTCCAACCGGTGACCACTTGTCTGATGCAATCCAGTGTTTATTTCTGTCATCTTTTTTTCTTCCAAGTTAGTTCATTGTTTATCTCATAACAGTTTATGGTTAAAATTTGATCTAATTCAGTCACTGGAAATAAGGATAAAATTTAGGCATGCATTTTAGTCAGAACTGGAATATCGTGAGTTGAAAAAAAAGTCCAATTTCATGCAGTTATGGTTTAATTTTAAAAGCTCAATATCAGCCTGCTAGAAGAGGGGAGTTCATGCTTACTGGTCACCAATGGGCATTTTATTACTTCATATTTTGTTGTATTCTACTCCCTCCTATGTGTAATCACCATAACTGCAGATTATTTGTAATTCTAAGTGTTTGTAATTGCTAATTAAGCGTTTTAGTTTTCACATTAGCAAGAAATGTGCCTGATCCATGGGAACAGCCTTTAGAGCAGCTGTAAGATAGAGTGTATCTGTGGGTAAAAATTGCA